GACACACTATTATACGCCAGAGAACATCTTTGACCAAATATCAAGCTATCATCCAAGCGTAAGTTCACAAACCCGCCTCTGTGATGGACGGTCATCAGTGGCACAATTGGGGAGTATAGACTCCCTTCAAGGACCGGTTAAAACCGGTCCTTGATGGGAGTGTGTCCTCCATCAATGAGCGGTTTTGACCGGTCCTTGATGAGGGTGTTTACTCCCATCAAGGACCAATCAAAACTGGTCCTTGATGGGAGTGTGTCCTCCCATTGATGACCAGTGTCATAAATGGTCATCAATGGGAGGACTGTATTGCCCAATTGGCTGATGGGTTTTTTTTCCATTTTTCATTTTTTTGTCTATTGTGGCACGTCAGTGCCTCCATAGTGTCTCCCTCTTTTTTTTTTTTGGAGGGTTGCAAAACATGGTTTGTAAAATTAAATTTATGTTGTGCAATTTTGCAACACATAAATTACAACTCATAGATGGGTTGCAAACTAATGCTTGCAAAATTCCTTGATATAAGGCAAAAATGTACTCTTGCAAATAATATTGTTTGCAAGACAGAAGGGTTGCAACATATGTGCCTTGAAATTCTACTCCAAGGGGCTTGGGTTGCAATTTTAAGGCACATATGTTGCAACCTTTTTTTTGCAACCCATATTTTTGGGTGATGGTTTGTAAAATTATACATTAACCCCATAAAAATTTAACTTTACAAACCATCTGATTTACAAGACATATGTCTTGTAAAATATAGTTTGTAAAATTACAGCGACCCTTATATTAGACTGATGGGACTGATGAAGCACCACACAAAAGGCATTAGACTGATGGGACAGCTGAAGCACCGGGCAAAAGGCACCAGAACTCATATCCTAGGATTGTCTGAAAAACATTCACATCTGACATCCAAAAAAACATTGCAACCTTTCCCAATGGGTTTAACCTAATCTTCTATGAGGAGACGCGCACGCAGTCTTCCTAAGAACTCCTTTGTTGCCTCTTTCACAGCTTGATCATCACCAAAGTATTCAGCTATAGGAGACAAGGATTGTGGTGCAGTGTGAACTCAACTCAAATAGCTTTATCCCTGGATTTCTATGCCTCAACTTTCAACCTGAAATTCAAATCAAAATAATCCCTGGAAATCGCAAGCTCCTCTCCAGAAATTTTCCAGATGGACATCTCAATTTAAATCCTGTTTAATCCTCAATTCATTATCAGTATTGGTAGTAGTATGATCTCTCTGATCCAAAGCATCAAGCAATCTGTTTCATTCTTCTAAGCCAATCATCCAAACCTTGAATTATTAGTTGAAGTTCTTTGTTGTTCAGTCTTATTAGTTTTTTCTGAAATTATCAGTCTCTCTTGGATGATCATTGTTTGTTCTTTGTTTTTCTCGGAAATCCTTTCAGTTCTGAATAATCCATGCTTATCCATCAATAAAATACAGTTCTTTCTACTAATTTGAAGTGGAAATTGTTTTCTGTTCAGTGTTTCAACCAAGACTTGAGGATATAATGGAAGATAAACCCACCAAGTCTATGGAGACATAGACATACTTATCTTTTTGATGAAACAAATTGTGCATGATTATGAGAATCCAATAAGAAAATGTGCCTGCTTCCTAAATGTTCATCCCAGGGCAATTATCATCTGTTATAGTGTGGTTTTTCCTACCCAACAAATCTACATGTTTGTTCTTTCTCTCTATAGACTATATTTATACTCATCAAAAATCACCTAAATCTTGAATTTCTATTTTTTCCCTTCATCTGTCTATTCATGCTTCAGTAGTTTCACCATAATCTGTCTATTGTGTAATCTCAAAATCTGTTTTGCATTCATCAAATGAACACCTCTTCCAGACATTTGTAGATCCTGCCACTGTTGTTCCAACTAATCATATTCAACTCACCAAATCATCAAGAATAGATATTAAATCTTAGAGGATTCTTGGAACAATGATCTGATGATCAGCCCAAGTTTCTATCTTGTTTGCTGCATTGGAAAAATAAAGGAAATTCCTGAGTCGACTACCTAAACAAGTAGCTGCTGATTGCATTATTTTACCAAAAATATTTCCAAGCGGACATATTTTACCAAAAATATTTCCAAGCGGACAGGGTACATACTGCGACAACTATTCCTATTCAGATTTTGGGACATGCAATTTTCTTTAAATGTGGAGTAAAAAAAGGAATCCACTCACACGTGACAGTGACACCACGCGAGTGACTGGGGTAAGCCGCGGGGTCCGTCCGCTCGGGGGATTCGGTCGAGTTCGGGACTGGCTCGCGGCGGGTTCCAATTCTTCTGCAACCGCTTCGCATTCAGCTTTCTCCATCACGAACATCCTCAACCAACACCTCACACAGTCACAGTCACAGTTCAGGCTCACCTTAGTCCGGATAAACAACATGGTCAGCTGATTCTATGTACTTAGTTTCGATAGACACCTCTCATGGCTTTCAGATCTGACCTCATTTTTGCTTCCCTCCATAACTTCGATCATTTCGGAACTCCGACGACAATTCTCCGATCGGATTTTTAGCCTGCCTCCGAAGCTGGTTTGTTGTTTTGCCTTCAATTCTTTGTCAACTCGCGGAAGACATGTGTTGATTGACGGTCTATTTCGGTTCCCTTAAATCATTCGATCACAGAGACAAAAGAAGCTTTTGCCCTATTCGATAAGAAGGGAACAGGAACCATCAGTCGAGAGAGCTTGGGGGATCTCCTCCGAGCCCTAGGTCAGAATCCCACTCAAGCCGAGGTAGCGGAACTAGCTGCCAGCGCGCCCCACGATAGTTAGTCTGACCATACAACAAAGATCTTATCCGTAAATCGCTAGTCGAATACACACCTGACCTATCTTCATTGAGGAACTTCTTAAACAGTCGACTTTGCGACTTTTTCGGCTATCCTCAATCGACCCGGAGGGTTTTCTCCCGCGGGCACAGCTGAAGACTTTATACGTGGCTTTCGTGTGTTCGATAAGGCGGGCAACGGATACATCGGCGCTGGCGAACTTCGTTACGTCTTGACTAGCTTGGGTGAAAAATTGAGTGATGAAGAAGTCGACGAGCTGATGAAATGCGTCCAGATCGGAGCGTGCGTGGTTTTTTTTTCTGTTTTTTTTGTGCCTCCAAAGTCTCAATCAGAGGATAGAGCCAGATAAGCATGTGAAAATCACACAATTCTAGAGGCTCACTCTTGAAGTATAGTACTAACTACAAAACCTTTCATGATATTAATTACAGTGATGGGTATATCGATTACGAAAAATTTGTCAGGAGCATTCTGCAGCAATGAAATACAGATTTTCCGCCCGACTCCTTTGCATTGTTTTTCTTTCGAACTTGCCCTAAAAAGTTTTAGATTCTGTTCTTTATTCATGCATATTGTAACTTTTTTTTTCTCTTTCTTTTTCGATGAAAACCCTCCCAAACATTTACAGACATTCTGTGAAGGATAGACCCAACATGGTTGGCTTACAGTAATAAGGCTTGAAATGACAGTACATGTGGTACGCAATACATACTCAAAAGTTGTTACAGACATCTGTGAAGGATAGACCAACATGGTTGGCTTACAGTAATAACGCTTGAAATGACAGTACATGTGGTACGCAATACATACTCAAAAGTTGGTGCTATAACCCATGACAAAAACCCTCAAACAGCATTCTGCATTCAAGTTTATCAAAGTTACACTTTTTGCTGTCTCTTAGATCCAATGTTTTCCCTGTATATCTCATAAAACCAAACTCATGGTACGAATTGTTCAAGCTGTCAACAAAATTGGCTACATGGAAAAAAGCTCCAAATCCTGAACAATGGCGAGACCCTTGGGCCAAGTTGCAAGCCCTTGAAGCAGGGAGCAAGTATAGCTGAAGTAGGAGAGACCATGAGGATTAAACTTTAGATCAGGGCATGGTATTTTCCTTCAAGAGAGGGACTTTTCTCCAAAGAGAAATATCCTCAGATTTAGATCAAGTTGAATTTGAGGCTGTAAGTCCAACTCATTGCACTGTGTTAATTGAGTTGTTGGACAAGCCAGAACAATCTCACACTTTCAAGATTGACTTTTTTTTCCTTTGATTGACTTGAGTCAGACTGTGTTATTGTTTGTGTGTCAAGTAGCCTATCTTTTGTTGTCTGATCACGGTGGTTTTTAAACCTCAAATAGTAACATCTTCTGTTCAAAATTGCCACTCAGTTTCTTAAGTATTTGCATCTTGCTAAATGTGTAGTGATATACACAAGAAGCAACCCAGATTTTACACTCACCTCATCAAGGATTCCCCATGTCAACTGGTCAATTTTCCTTGTGTGAATGAAGCCCAGCTAAATATATTGAAAAAAGCTGTCCAAGCACTTTTTTGGACTGACTGGTCCAACAAATCAATTGCTGAAATGTGTGAATTGGGAGAGGGTATGCAAGGTAGTGTTTGGGCATTCAACATGAATCCCCAGACCCCAGTGCACCAAAAAAAAACATGTCATAAATATTGTAGAAACACAGAGTTTCAAGTTTGAGTGTGCCCACGTGCACTGACAGCAAGGAAAACTAATCTACATAATGTGCAGAAAGGCACCTCAATAGAACTCTGTTAAATCATATGATTCCCCCCAGAAATCAACCCCAAATCTTTGGAAGATGATAGAGAAAAGCAGAGCTTGAGGTAGTGTGATGAACCATTTCTTGAGAAGCTCTGTTTCACTACAATTATCGCAACTTGAATGCAGCTTTTCCAGTCGTCAAAATCAAAGCTGACAAAATCTTGACAAGCATATCAGCATGCTGTATGCTCAGGGTAAACCTTAGGCCCTTTGAAATTGGGTATTCCCTGGTAAAACAAAGTTTGGTTGTTTACAGCCATAGCTGGAGTGCTGCATGCAGTACCTTAGATCAAGTATGAGCGGTTTGAGCCCACCCTCCAGCTGGCAGCCATGTGCTTTCTGATTGGCTTGGAGACTGAATTACTTCCATGAGCATACTCTGAAGTTGCAGGGAGTGACTTCTCTACCAAGTGCAATCCACTAATCCTGGCAGTAAGCATTAGCCTGCCCTCCAATTCCATGTCGAAAACAGAAACACCATAGTCCAGATCTACATATCTCCCAACTCTTCATGCAATGACAACAACTGACTTGAGCCCTCACTTTCCCCAAGCATGCTGCTTCGAGTTTGCTTTTTTTTTATTGGGGTTTAGAAACCCAATCTTGTTCTCATGACTGCAGTGTGACTTGCTTCAAACCCTCTAACGAATTGAAATAACATAAAAAACACTGAAATTATTTGTATTTTCATCAGTCAGTCTTTGAAGATATGAAGGCAGTCCTGGATGTCTTTTTCTTGCGAAGCAAAGTTAATCTGGCAGACCTCCGATTGTCTAGCAGAACAAAACGTCGGGGCCCAGAGGTCCGCGGCGGGGAAGCCAAGCTAGCCATGAACGTCAAGAAGAGTGACGTGGGCATATATCTACTTACCTCCACTTCATAGGGATTGGGTAAGGCATACTCACCGCTCAAGGTTCACTTCCACTCAGGTTTTCTTTCTCATTCTCCAGACCTTAGAATATATGAAATAAAATAACAAAAGAAGAACAGAGGGATAGACAACTGATAATAGAACAACGAAATTCACTGAAAACACATCTCGTGCGCGTTGCCATTCTTCTTCTTCTTGTGGGTTGTAACTAAAAACAATAATGAAAAAAAATATAATCTATCTATTTATCAAGGGGGTAAAACAGAGAGAAAGAGTCAACAGATCCTGTCCCCTCCTCGCCCAGACAAAACACTTGCTTAGTGAAACAAATAACTTGAAAGATTTGGGTATTTCATTATTAAGAGCAATCGGCCGTCTATGATGCAAAAAAGTGGAATAAGGTGTAAGTTTCAGTTATTTCCTCGATCAATCTTGAAGCGAAGCTGGGCCCGAGTTTGCTAGATCCCATGCACATGTTCTGGACGCTCGTCAGTTGACCTTGAAAATAAATTACACGAGTTGTTGAATCTGCGCCAAGAATTAGCCGATCTTGTATTTTGAATCGTTTTTTTTCGAACCCAATGACAGGAGGAATTAGTCATAAAAAGAGGTGGCGCTGTTGTAGCTGATTAGGATGTTTGATTTGGAGGTCGGAATGTTTTGAATGTTTTGAATATTATTGATTTTTGTCAAGATGTTTGATTTGACCCAGGTAGACTCTGCCGTCCGGAAGGAATAAATCGGACGCCTTTTATTGAATTGAGATGATTTGTCGATCAACTAACGTCTGTCAAGGCCGAACAGGAGGCCATAAGCATCTTAGAAAAACCCAAAACTCGAGATCCGCCAAAACCCAAAAAATCGGCGATCGTGTCGTGTGATCGTCAGCAATTGGTAATAAAACACCCCACAAAACATCGCCCAGTAGAGTTGTACAGGTTGGGGAAGGATGGTAGGAAAGGTGTACAAATAACAGGTCTGGATGGAGATGAGCGCTAGCAGTTGTCTAAAGTATATCAAGAGTCGAATGAAAAACGGGAGCTATGATTTGGACCATGATGAGTAAGCACTTGGGACATCAGACTAACGAAAGCTGGCCATGTGATTGACTGAACCGTCGAAATTCAAGAGATTGGAAAGTGTTTTATTTTGCAGGAGTTGGTTGGCAGTACTACCTGGTGTGTAGATATTTGGTTTAGAGATAAAGACAAGCAGAAAAAAAAGGAATAGGGAGAAACTAGAAGAGAAGGGGGCATAGGTTTTGTGTTGATTTGGCCGGATGGCAGCGATCACCACCTAAGATAGAAGATATCAAGGTTAGTCAAAAAAACCTGTTAAGATTAATCAGAGAGGCATGCATACCATGATCCGCCGCCACCACCACCGTTGTTTGCACCAGCAGCGTACATGAAGGCACCTTGACCCCCACCTGGGGGACCCCCGTAGCCGGCCATCGGACCGCCTTGGGAATAGCCACCTCCATTGCTGTAGGGATTTCCGCCATAACCGCCGCCGCCGCCTCCACCACCTCGTCTGAAATCTTGGTTTCCTGATCGGCCACCACGGCCCCGACCCCCACCGCGACCGCGACCACCACCGCCGCCGCCAAATGCGGCTTCGCGCGCAACGGTCTCGAGCCAAGCGGGTATCTCCTGATTCGCCTCACGAAGGAGATCGATAAGCTCCCTGACAATGTTCTTGTTGTTACGGTTGAAGAAAGCGGTGGAGATTCCGGTATTTCCGGCTCGTCCAGTACGACCGATACGATGCACGTAATCATCAATATCATTCGGCAAATCGTAGTTGACGACATGAGTAACATTCGGGATATCAAGACCACGTGCGGCGACAGCTGTGGCAACCATCACAGGTGTACGGCTGGATCGAAAGGTTTCCAAGGCGCGCTCTCTTTCTCGCTGAGATCGGTCACCGTGAATTGAAGTGGCGGCAAAGTTGGATTGGATCAAGAAGTTCTCGAGCATATCGGCCATTCTTTTGGTCTCTACGAAGACCAGAGTCAAGCCACCAGTAGGCATAGAGCTGAGGACGTCGAGCAAAACACTGCGCTTATCGGCATCTTCGACATATTCAATCTTCTGGGTGATGTTCTCACTGGTGGAACCGACTCTTCCAACAGACAGGAAAATGTAATCTTTCAAGAAGTCCTTGGCCAACATTTGAATGTCGCGGGGGAAAGTGGCACTGAACATCAAAGTCTGACGCTCATGTACTCCAGGCATGTCTTCACCGGTAACAATTCTACGGATTTGGGGTTCGAATCCCATGTCCAACATGCGATCGGCTTCATCCAAGACCAAGAAGCGAATGTTGCTTAAGCTGATTCGACCACGTTCAATGAAATCGACCAATCTACCTGGGGTGGCAGATAACAGATCACAGCCGGACTCGATTTGCCTAAGTTGAGTGTTCATATCGGCACCTCCATAAACAACCGCAGGACGGACCCAGGACCGGTAGGTGAATTTGCGAGCCTCGTCGTGGATTTGACTGACCAATTCGCGGGTGGGGGCCAAGATGAGGGCGGTGGGGAATGCTTTGCGCTTGCCGTAGCCACCACGAGGGTTTTGAGCTTGCATGCCAGAAGTAGGGAGCGGACCTTTCGCAAAAGCTGCCGAGATGATGGGGAACAGGAATCCGCCAGTTTTTCCGGAACCAGTTTGAGCACAAGCCATTAAATCACGACCATTGGCTACAATCGGCACGGAGTATTTTTGGACGGGAGTTGGAGTTTTGTACCTCGCCAATTTGATGTTGGCAAGCAGGTGTGGGTCGAGGGGCGAGTTGGAAAACTCAAGAACCGGCTCCGGTACTCCGTTGCCGGTGGCCTCGACGGGAATGTCGGCATCTAAAGTTCCAGGAAAGGAGGAAGGGTCGGTCAGGAAGTGTGTGTGTAAGAGAGAGAGAGAGATTGTTGAGTTGAGAAAAAAGCGGGCTTACATCGATCAAAGTTGATTCCAGTGTGCTGTTTGCTGGGATCTTCCGCATCGCCAAACAACTCCCTCTCTGTTCGGGGATTGGGAGGACCAGGGACATGTTGTCCATTTTTCCATTCACCGTAGCCGTCAAGACGACGACCTCCTCCTCCTCCAGCGGTTCCGCCACCGCGGGAGTAACCGTCGTTACGAGACGAAGGGTAGCTTGGGTGTTTGGTCCAGGTGTTGTTGGCATTTGGATTGGGGGCATGGATGGAGGGGGTGATCCAAACACCCGAGGGGCTGTAAAAGAAGAACAAGGTCAGAATGATGGTATCGATCACTGATTTGGAGGACGAAGTGAAGATGAGACTGACACGCTAGGTGGGGGTACGGGGGCAGGACCACAATTTCTCATATGAGGTGGAACATAAGCGGGTCTGGTGGGGTTGAGTGTGACTGCGGCTGCAGGTGGTAGGAACAATAGAAAGAATGGTGGTAGAGTGTCAGGGTCAATAATGTGTGCTGAATGGAGAAGTGGGCCCCAAAGGGTACAAACCAATTTTGCCTTCGATCTCATCAACGGCGGTTGAATTTCCTTGCATGATCGGATAAGTTCACAAGATGAAGGAATGGAACCGTGGAGGATGTAGGCAGAAGATTGATCAAGTGAGTATGGAAAGAGGAGAAGAAGAAGAAAATGGTCAAGAGAGCTGTGGAAAGAATTGACACGGGAATCGAAGTTTGATGTGTGGTTGAAATGATTCTCAGGGAAAGCCCGAGAAAAACGATACAACAAGAATTGAAGCAACCAATCAAAATCGATCGAGGGAAGGAAAGGGAAGGAAGTTCTATGGGATGAGAGTATTGAAGAGGCTGGCGGTGGTGAGGAGAGACTCGAGAGGAGGGATGGGGCAGGATGCAGTCGCAGCTGGAAGTGGGACTGAAAAAAGTTGGACGGGGGCTACATGGATATCGGAACGACCGAACGACCCAGACAGATACCGAACCAGCGCTGCTGAAACTCCAAACCGCAAACTTCAAAACCAGAACTCACGGCTGCGGGAGCAGTTCCACGCCAAAACGAAAAAAAAATTGTAGTGTGTGGAGTCAAGTTGAATAATAATATCATGAATAGTAGCGAGGGGGTACGCGAGAAGTACAGAGTGAAGAGGCCACAAATCAACCCTCAACAAGCAGGACTCCAGGAGTCGAGAAGGAAAGGAAACAAGATGGGGAGCAAGACAACAACCGAAGATCCTTTGATAAAGATAAGGTTGATTTCAATCTGGGTTTCGATATGGCTGGATACCAACGGATTCTCGGGTGGTTTCCATACAAACACTTGGGTTGAAACACCACTTGAGATATCCCAATAACAATCACCTGACTTGACATCAAAGGCTCCATCTCCACAACGCCATTTGATTGCCGTTTCATCCACGGCCATTGGTAAGAGACAATGTGAGCTGGTCAGATTAATCAATAAGACCTAGCGAGCTACGTATCTCCATGCACTGGAGTCTCCTATTACTATTATTCATCACTCCACTCGATCATACCTTTCATCGGCGATCAGCATTCCTTTCGTTTCAGTGGTCCAACAAGTTCCAACAATGGGAACTTAACCCGTCCTTGACTTGGGATAAGCATCATCACATGCTGCGATTTCATCAATGTAACTGCCAATGGCCCGTAACACATGGTTGAGACTGATGGTACCGCAGACCGATCAGCTTGTTGTCGATCAACTTGCTGTCTCGACTCCGTCGCGAACTTGTTGCATAGCAATCACTCCCGCCATTCTGCCTTGACGGCTACAGTCCTCCACTGTCTTTTTGTTGCATGTATACGGCTTGGAAAATATAAACTTGTGCATACCACATGCCACAACAGTTGTACCGAGCAACCAGAGGAATCGGACGACCAATGCATGGTGACAGCTTCCACAGTTTGACAATCAGCTTGATGAAATTGAGGTTAAAAGATACAAAGGGTTGTATGTTGTTTGACTTACAACCAAGGGCTCAATTTGATTTCTTATTTGGCTGTAAGGTATGAAGATGAAATCAGTGATCAGACGAAACAATGTGAAATCTCACCTTAAAATCGCCTGTTTGTGTGGTGGGTAAACAAAGGTTTTCACCACCCTCTTTTCAAAGGGGCGGAGGTGGAGACTGGTGAGAGTTGAGAAAATTGAAAATCAAAGGACAGCAATTCAAGAATACTGATGTTTTATTTTTTAATATCAGAAAATAAGGCAGGCAAGATACATAGTTCAAGAAAAATCCACCCAACAGAGATTCCCATAACACCTATTTTTCTTGGTTGCTATGCAGTTAAAAAAATCATAACAGGGCCAGACAAAAAAGCGGTGATAGGGCTTGATGTTTTGGTATCTTCTATCACTTAATATTGGTAAGATAACAAAACAAACTGGAAGTGGCAAAAAATTACTATCTAGTCAGGAGAAAATGAATGAGAAAGAAACAAATTAATTAAGCAACCCTTATCAATTGGAGCCAAAAACCTGGGATTTGTATACATTCCCCTGCAATCAAGGCTTTGGGGCCTTGGAGTTCCAAATTCAGTGGTGCTTTTGGGAGTCATCACAGGTGTTGGAGCTTTGAGTGAGTAAAGCGGAGGAATTCATGAGAAGGAGGTCTTGTAATCATGACAAAACAAATTTCTGGAGCAGCTCAATGTGGAAAGAGGATCAAAGAAAATAATGTATAAGGTTAGAACTCAAGTGCAGTAACTGTGCTAGAAAAAATAGAACTGTGTGTACAGAAAAATGGATTTGTTTTGGAGCAGTGATCAGATTCAACCAAAGTTATGTTGGAGTTTGAGCCACATACTATTACATGTCAAATATTGGTGGATGGATTCTTCCACTGTAAGAAAAACTAGCTCAGCTGCTGCAAATTTAAATTTGGAAGCTCTATGGAAGCAGCTTCTGTTTTTACTCAACTTTCAATCAAACCTTACTTCAACCTAGCTTCAGTGTACATACTACAGTTACTGTGCATCCAGAAAAAAGGGGCTTTTGGAGTAATGCAGTGGTATGACCACAGGTAAGTTAGATTATCCTACATGTCAATTGGTGGTAGTTGAGATGGGGATTGTGCAAACTTCTTTCAGAGGTGAGCATACTTTCTGGTTTTTGGTGTAAAATGTTGCCATAACAGTCCTGGTTGGAAAAGGATTGGACATCAAGAAGATGGTGGAGTTTGATTACAGCTAATCCCGGAATGCTTGTCAAAACTTCTTGGATTTTCCAGCTGAAATTTTGGCCTTGGATTTTCCTGAGCCTGCCAGATCAGGCTAAATCCATGCAAATTCAACATCAAAGTTGGTCAGCGGATACACAGACTGACCAACTCTGATGACTATGTCTGCAAGCAGACCCTGTAGCCGAGCACACAAGGTTACAGCACCTGAGCACTAGCCAAGGTAGCGGTCAGCCATTCGGCCGAGCACCCCATCATAGTTTTGCCGGTCGGAAGGCTCACAAACCACCCAGACACCCGGATCCCCCCCCTCAATCATTTCCCCTCTTTTTTGAACTCCTCATTCTCTATTTACTTTGTGTTTGAGGGGACAGTAATCCACAGTTTTTCTGAACACCGAGGTTAGTGATTTATAATCCCCTACTAAATAATAAGTCTTGATAGGGTTCGTACAACGGTGGGCCGCTACACTAACCGTAGCGGTTAGTGTAGCGTAACGCAGCGGAATTCCCGTTAGCGTTAAGCGTAGCGTAGCGGAATTCCGCCACGACACCGCTAACGCTACGCGCGTGGGCCACAAAAAAGGGCCCACTACGCTGCGCTACAGCCGTTTTTAGCGGTTTTTAGCCGCTTTTTCCGCTAAAAGCGCTGTAGCGCAGCGTAGCGTAGCGAAAATGCGCTACAAAAGCGCTAACACTACAAAAATTTGGCGCAAAAAAAGCGCCGCTATGCTACGCTTTTTGGGCCAAAAGCGTAGCGGCCCACCGCTGGTTCGTATCTAACACACACTTCCTGATTTCCCCACCAGTCTTCTGGGATGGTGTACATTTATTATTCGCCGGAGGTTAAGGCTCTGTCCGTAAAGCTGTACATGCGAAACATCTCGATCAAGGACATCAATAATCTAGTTGAGGCAGATATATCGGCCCGGTCCTTTAGACGATGGTCAGATTTATTTATTACTACCTCCAGTGTCGTTTGTGATCCAGCCCTTTATGAACAGCAAGGTGCACCACTCCTCATTACTTCCAAAGAGCGAGAATTCATACTAGACATCCTTCGAGGCGACCCAACACTGTATCTTGATGAAATCCAACAAGCCCTGGAAGAGCACTCAGGATTCCCTGTCAGCCGAGCAACCATCCATCGTGACCTCCATCTCAGACTCAATCTCACCCACAAGGTTGCTCGCACTGTGCACCCGGGTCAGTGTCCCCTCAAGCGAGCCGCATACTTCTGCAAAATTGCCAACTTTCCGTCTGAGTTCCTTGTTTTTACCGGTATGTACTTGGACTTCAAGCAAAAAAACAAACTGTAAATCAAATAACTGATTGATCTATTTATTTCTGCTTCGTGTGGTTGCAGATGAGTCAGCAATTTGCAGAGATGCATTGATGCGCTGTGAGAACTCCTTTGGGAATGGTGGCAGTCCTGTGAGGGGTAAATAACAGATATGATATTGTGCTTATTTGATATATATTGTTACGGGTGGTTTGAAAGACCTGCCCCTCTATTTTACTACACAAGAATTTTGACAACAAAAATTTATATATTGATGTGCCAAAACATTTATAGAGAAACCTTTATGTAGTAGTCTCTATCAGACCTAGATCAATTGATATATATGAAATGCTATGAGACAAGCTATCTAAGAGACTAAGAACCTGATTAAGATCACAGGTGTTGAAGAAGGAGGGGGGGGTTGATGATGATGATCAGCAGCTGGCCAGGCTGTGTGATGATGAGATACTTGTTTGAGATCACCCCTATGAATGGGTTGACATCTCCAAGTGAGATATATGTTGATGCTGGGATTGCATGAGGAACTAGAACTGAGGGGGGCAACAAGGCCTGCTTATATAGTCTATTTACACACCGGCTGGCTTGTGGTTCTAGCTATAACTGATAATTTCAAAAATGGCTAGATTTTGGTTCTAGCCCTAACCATTTACCTAGCTCTAAATATATACTATGCACTACCAATGTGCCACTATGCTTTGTAATCATGTTCTATCATAACCTTAACATCTAAATAACTTCTGACTGAGTTGAGCTAGCCTAGTGGTTCCAGTGATTGACTATAGGTTAAATTTGATGTAGAATTCAAATATGCAATAAAAAATCAATAATATAGTCTGTTATCAAGAGTGGATCATGACTTTATGCAATTTGGTACTTGAAACACATTTGGCACACTACATCAACAAAGGCTGGGCCCCTCAAGGCTAACGTACCGAACGTGTCCCTCGACGCAATGATGCCACCCGACTCTCGCTCTTGCCTGCTGTGTCTTTGGATGGCATACTCAGTATGATTGCACAGCCAGGCTCAATTCAGCGACCCAATTTTGAGTTCTTCCTTGAGCAAGTGCTGGTGAGTAACTTGACAACAGCTATGCCAATCTGGGTGTTTTGATTGCTTATTAATGGGTTGGGGCATACCAGCTTCCTGCAATGAATCCCTTCCCCGGTCGTAATAGTGTGCTCGTTTTGTACAACGCCTCAATACATCACAATGGTCAGGTGGCAGAGATATGCATTGCTGCGCATGTTCTGCTCATTCATCTCCCCACATATTCTCCAGACCTTAACCCAATTGAAAAAGTTTTTTCGGTGGTCAAGTCAAACTTGCGACAAGACCACATCTTAAAGGGAACCGATGAAGATGCAGAAATCATTAAGGATTACGTTGGCAATTTAGTCACGCCTGAGTTAATGCAGGCCGAGTTCCGAGGTTGTGGTTATGTGTAGTTTCTCCACTGATCATCCTTCAGCTCTGCATCAGTTTGTCTAGTTATTGTAGCTCTTGGCTCAAGCACACACGATTTTTCATTCTCAATTTTATTGATATAAAGCAATTCCGAGCATTTTTATTCACTTAAGAGTTGTATGAGTTTGCGACTCAATTCCTCAAGAAAATTAGTGCACCCAAGATGCCAATGACTTGAGTAACAAATTTGTCGATGTCACAGAAGATGGTTTGGATTGACCGGAGCTAATGCTGATGGATTCTTGGAACAGTGTGGTACAAAGTAGGATAAGGGGATTATTGTTTGTGAAGGCAATCATTGATTTTGATTATAAGGACCTCTCTCTCTCTACATCTCTCTACATGGGGCTTGAGAGTCGGTGACTAGGTCTCTTTGATCAGAATACAACAAGCGAACAGAATGATCGATTCTTACCTTTGATGAAATATTTACTAAGCCAACGATTGATTTGCATCTCTGAGATGGGTGTCACTTGATTTGCTCACAGTCTAAGGTTAATTCATCCAGGTTGATTACAGCACAGTGTAGACCAAGGATGATACAGCTAAGGGTGACAACACTGTGTCATATTGAGAAATTTTACAACTTTGCTATCAGTGCATCGCAGTGAAAGCTTCATCCATCCAAGGAAGAAGAGGAAAAAAAAAACAAGAGGACGGTGAGGAAGGAAAAATGAGTATAGGAGGAAGCCATTGGAATCGGTCTTTAGTTAACCGTTTACATCAGTACAGCTAATCGGAGTGTTATCAGTACAGCTAATTGGAGTCTTTTCAGTTCAAAACAGTCGCGAGGTTTTTTTTCATGCTTTAATTGTTTTTCATGCTTTTTTTTTGTTTTTAGTTATGTTTGTTATGTTTTTTATGTTTTTTTATGTTTTTTATGTTTTTTATGTTTTTTATGTTTTTTGGTCAAACAATAATAATGAGAAAGAGACATTCGACTGATAGAAGAGATGTAAAACAGGGAGTCTGGAAAATCAAATCACCCGATTGAAGTGATCTTCGAGTCTGGCTACCCCCTCAGAAAGCAGGTAGGCCGTTCCAGGTGTGAATCCGTAGCCCACAAGAGCTTCGAATGATGTTGAGCGGAAAAATTACCAGTGATTGATGCCTAGCATCATGAGTCTGCCTCTGGTGAGATTGTTGCCGGGTTTGATTTGTGCAATTTCCAAGTACTGATCCATGGTCACCGCCTCTATCGATGGGGAGATAGGGGGACAAGAATGTTGGTTTGCAGCTGCACGAGGGATGATTGGGTTGTCTGAAGCCACAGGGATTGGACTGGTGTTCATGACAACAGCAGGTTGTGGGATCCAGGCTGGGGTGGAACTAACTGGGCAAGCAAGAGTTTGGCCGGCGGCGGGATTGACTGAAGTGGGGGGGCCTTGACCCAAAAAAGGAGGATACAATCGATTCTCGGCCACGGTTGCAAAGGAGCCTACATGATGGGCCACTGGAGCAGGGGTCATCAAGTCCAATGGAGTTGGAAGTCGATCCAACTGATCGGTCTTGGTTGTTGGGTCAAAAGGAGTGGGTGAGTGGATGCAAAAGCCATCTTCCTGGCGAGGATCGTAGGTACTCGTTAGTGGTACAAACTCATTGAAAGTGGGCATCACCTCCACTTCAGTGCTGATGTGGCGGGAATTGGGGGCAGTAGATTGTGGGGGTAGTGAAATAATTGGGTTACTGGAGGGTGCTAGACTTGAGTGTCGGTTGTCCGTACGGGTGCTTGTTGGGGCATGGTGGGACACATGGTTTGACGAGCTGGTCAAGGTGGATGAGGTGGATGCAATAGCTCTGGAGGTCGACTTCCAACTTCCCCGACGTTTGGTCCATTGAAATTTGGGGTATTTCGGACCTTTTGGTGGGTGGGTCAGATCTACCCCATCCTCCTCCGCTAGGATTGCCTTAGCCCAATCCCAAATCTCCTTGTAGAGCACTCGCATCTCCATTGACGGATCTTCAGGATTCACGAACAAAGGGTATTCTGAGCCATTGCCGCCAGAATTCAAGCAGATGCTCTCTCGAACGTCCGCGACCATATTGAGGAGTGCTTCACCCCCTGCATCGTCCGACTTTGGCTGAAAACCAAATGACTCATCAGCCACCGTACCAGAAAGTTGAAAAAGAGGAAACTGCTTACATTTATTTGTCATCGTTTATGATGGTGTTCAAGGGTAGCTCGAACCTCCGGAGGACCAAACTGCATGTGAAGAATGTCACGTTTTTTTTTACCTTGAAACCACAACAAAAAAATGTCAAACTTGGTGAATCTGAATACCAGTGCATTGTGACTCACTCGTGATCAGCTCCTTTTGGTTTCTCGGGGGTCATTCATTTCCAATCGGAAGATCACCTTAGCAGGGAATCGGAGAAGGGCCTCCCTCACAAACAGTTTGAAGTCTTGCGGTGATGTGATCTCGACAGCATTCTTGATACTGTATGTGGAGTTGCCCGATATCATTGCAATCCAATGAATCAGTCCCGCCAAGTTTTGCCTTTTGAGAAAGCGATCAAAGTAATCCTCCACCGGACTAAGGCGTTCGATCACACCAGATTGAAATTGACTCCAAGTGAGAGCCTTCAGATTCTGTTTCCAAGGAGGTGGAGGTGACTTGGCCACCATACAAGACCACACCTGGTTAGGGGAGGGTGCAGCTGCTTGGCTACCGCCAGCAGTTAACGCCTTATTTTCCATGAACAAGATGTAGTCGAGATGAACTGCCGTGATGCGAGCATGAGTCTTGGACGCTGAGCTGTCAGATTTGGTCGTGGTGCCATCGTATTCTTGGTACTGCGTCTCCTCTGCAAGAACGCGGCTACGTGCTCGCTCAATCCAAAGGATTTTGTTTGAGAATCAGCACCTAATAACACTACAATACCAGGAACATACAAGAAACTGACACTGACCATTGATGTGTTAAATTCTGCACAACCAAATTAAAAGATCTTCAGACACGGGAAAACACCAGAATTTTGGCACCTTGATATTTCAAGTGTGATTGGGAAGAGACACAATTCAAGTCGGGTTCAAGAAAGAATTCAAATGAGCTATTTCAATACTAATAATTCAATTAATAATGTTGGTTCCAAGTGTTGATGTCCAATTGGAATGGGGGGAAACAAGCTGGATGGTGGAATTCGGGGAAGCGGATGGAATTATATGCCAATTCTGGCCATTAAGGCATGCCAGACAACCTCCGGACCGGAAAACCTTGACGGGATGGTTGGCCAAATGGGAGACGTAGCTGAGGGAAAACAGGTGACCACTCCCTTGGCTAGGGCTGAGCCTCTGAGGTGCTGGAACCTAGTGTGCTCGGCTACAGGGCCTGTATTTAGCCAAGCACACTGGTGGGCCAGACATAGTCATCAGAGTTGGTCAGTCTGTGTATCTGCTGACCAACTTTGAAGTTGAATTTGCATGGATTTAGCCTGATCTGGCAGGCTCAGGAAAATCCAAGGCCAAAATTTCAGCTGGAAAATCCAAGAAGTTTTGACAAGCATTCCGGGATTAGCTGTAACAAGCAGGATTCGATTAGGGAGGGGGATGATAAAAGCTTCAAAGCTTGGCATAGCAAGATGCTCAAGCAGTATGTATTTATATCGATTATAAAAACAGCTTCAAGATAAAAATTTGTAGGGTAGAACTTAAAAGTGCGGAGGTTCGCACTTCGCGGGATCTCCGAAGGAAGGACAGCTAGGTTCGTCAGCCTTACACCATGGGGACTGTTTCAATTCAGCGTTTGCCGTCGTCTCAGAGGAATCTGACTGTTCTCTCAGGTTAATTTTTTCCCCTCCTATGTGCATCAAACACAGTGTATATGTATATACTTGTGCTTTCCTACATTCTCACTTTCTCCGAATCGTCCGGATGTAAACAGTCGATTAACTGGCCGCTGCAGCTGGGAAAAGTCGATCTCCTCAAAATAATCCCCATCTTGTTCAGAAATTTGTTGAAAGAAGCGATCAGTCGTCGCCGGAATCCTCTTGAAGAAACGCACCGAGGACATTTCATCTGCAAACGAGGTTGACCGATCCTTGAATCGATTCCGCTGTATCTGGACGTTGTCGTCTCCCAACGCGAACTGACTCGCATACTGATTTACTTCATCATTAGTGCCGACAAGTGGTCGTCCGTTTGAACATGAGCTCACTTAAAATCGAAAGCCTATTCGGTGTTCAAGGTCGGGTGGCAGTGATAACGGGTGGAAGCCAAGGACTCGGCGAAAGTTGCGTACATCAAGCTCTTAGTGGTCGATAGAGGCCCCAGTAGTGGTAGATATTTTAGCGCAACTCGTTCGCTGACAGATACCTACTGATACATAGCTCTAGCGCGTGCCTGGGTGGTCAATGGAGGACATGCGCTCATTACTTCTCGGACCGAGGAGGTAAATACTATCATGAATGCTCTAATGATGTGTGTTCATGTTTGCGCACAAGGTCTTGAATAATTCTTCCTTTGATGATGGAATCCTAGACTCTCTCGAAGCTTTGCAAAGAGCTAAACCAGTGCGGTCCTGGAAAGGCTGAGTATGTCGTGGGCGACCTGTCCTCCAAAGCCGGCTGTCTTGCCGTGTGCACAGAGATCAAAAAGAGATTCCAGAAAATCCACGTCCTGGTTAATAATGCTGGCACTGTACTCTCTGCCCCTTTTGATGATGTTCCCGAGAAGGGTAATGTCGATTTCACTATGCTCTCTTCGTTTGGAAGTGACTGATGCTAATTCTGTTGAAATCACTGCTCTTGGAGGTACTTAGAAGGTTGGGACGATGTTTTTGGTGAGTTGAACTTCCTCCAAGGAGTCACCGGTGTTGCTTCCACTCCAGGCCACTCATTGGGCACTTGCTATTGTGACTTCACATAGACTTGAATGTAAAGGCTGTGTTTTTTATGACATCGCAACTCACTCCGGAGCTAGCAAAAGACGCAACAAACCTAGGTTAGTTGCTTTTGGATCTTGTTATCAAAGAACAGATGATTTGCTGATTTGGTTTACATCGGTGCAAACCAATAGATCCAGGAAGAGTAGTGGTAATATCCTCAGCAGCCGCCTTCAACACCAACACCGAGCCACTACGTGCTTTCGGGATCAGTGGCAAAGGGACTTGGTCTTGTGAGTGTTTCTTTATATGATCAGATACCTTGAGCTTGAAGATGGCTTGTCCACACAAGCAATCAGCTGAAATGTTCCACTGACTGGAATCAATGAGCACAGACAAAGCTAGTAAGGCTGCCGCCGTCTCATTATCCACCACCTTGGCTGTCACACTGGGACCGAAGCTTATCACGGTTAATACCATTTGCCCGGTAAGTAAATTAAACAAATATAGGATGCATTATCGCAGGGAGGGGGGCGGGTCGCAGAGACTGATCAAATTGATCTCCTACTTCACATTAGGGTTTCTACCGTTCCAACATGACAAAGCCGTTCTTTGATAAGGTGGGAGACTCGATTGAAAAGGAGCATCCAATGGGTCGAAGCGGAACGCCTGAGGTACGTTTCAATTTTGGCACCTCTCTCCAAGAAATGATGCTAAAGACCTTTCATAAACTCTCTTAGGATATTGCCGGTGTATTTTTGTTTTTGACCAGTAGAGCTGGCGCTCATGTGTCTGCCAATGTTTGTATTCATTCAAATTGCTTTGATTCCATCTCTCAATTAGTAATACTTGAGCCATCGGTTTCTGACTTGATGTGGCCTATTTCGGTTTTCCTTTTGCCAGTATATCTTATCGGATGGCGGGTCTATTGCTGCTGGAAAATTCACTTGAACCCAACTGGGCCAACGAACTCATCACAGGATAATATTCAAGTTTCGCGTCATACAACTTAACCTGCTTTGCGGTTTTATCGATCGCTGTTCGGGTTCCCCCTTGATTTGCTTGTAGCTAGTCTTGCGCTTCATTCCTCCTCTGACTTCCTCCTTCCTAAAAAGCTGAGAAAGTAGTTTACTGGGCGTTTTTGATGCAATCCATCCCGTCTCGTCTTGAGCACATCTACCTTGTGGTGGCTTGTCTGGCGACCAGACGGAGTGGCTCAGAATCAGGATCAGATGATGCAAGTTTTCTCATTCGCGGCCTTTTTCCTCCAAGGAAATCTGGATGAATCTGAGTTTCTGTGCAAGCAATAATAAGTGCTTACATCCAAGATTCGAGAATAGATTCAACTTCTCAGCCTATCTTCAACCAGTGGAGATTGCTCACCTTTCGTACATCCTCAAGAGGATTTACGTAAATAGTTGGCATCGCAGGGGAAGGGGGGATTTTTTCGTCATTGGATGGTGTCGGATGGTGGTCAAGTTTTGGTGCATTGGCCAAAGGTTCGAGATGACCCTGGCAAGCGATGACGATGAAATAAAGTTACTGGTTTCTACAGTCTCCCTCTCGTTCCTTCGCATCTTGTTGTACCCATTCAGCATCAACTTTCGACTACAAACCTCGTACGAGCCATCTCGCCAAGCCATGCACCGCCCCTCCAATGGCCATCCACCAGCGCCCAGGCCCCAGCCTCTGCATTCGCCCACATCCAGAGCTTCCCGAACGGTTTCCTGTCGGCAGCTGATCGGTCCATCCCGTCTGCCACCGATCGAAGCTAGTTTCCATGCTCAGCGCCCGAAACAACGATGAAGCTATATTTTTGACTGAAGATGATCTCTGCAGCTTGCTCCCCCTATGATAATGTGCGTCTTTGTTCGGGACCAAATTAGGCTAAACCGGGACTCGAGAACTTTTGAATTAAGGTTCACCGTTCCAGCGGTCAAGGCGACGAGGGAGCTTCCCGGAACGGCAAACCTTAAACTCGAACTCCCGAATCTCGGTATAGCTCGGTATGCACGTGCCTCTCTGCGCGCTGACTCAACACCAACGTCCCGGTGGGTCGACCGTGGAAGGACTCGAAGAAAAAAAAGAAGCAATCACCTCCACCACTCAGTCCGAACCTCACAGCACTTCCTCACGCAAACGCTATTGCCATATCAACTTCACAAACTGCACCACCCGCACCATCCTTGACTTATCATCACAGTCAAGTAAGCCGGAGTACAGAACATACACAGGATGGCCTCTCGAGACGACCCTCTTTCGATCAACAATCTTCTTGGCGTCAAGGGCCGGGTGGCGGTGATCACTGGGGGTGGATCAGGCTTGGGTGAAAGTTGAGTGTCTCCGTCTGAACAGATTATGCTGAATGGATCTAGCCGATCGTTTAATCCTAGTACTGAAAGATCCTTGCGTTCTTTCTTTCTAGTGATGGCTAAGGCCTGGGTCGTCAACAGCGGACATGTGATCATCGCCTCACGAAAAGAACAGGTCCGGCAGATATCATCCTCATCCTCATCTCACCATCATGCTAAGCTCCTGATCGGACTCTACAGGCGCTTTCAAAAGTTTGCCAGGAGCTTAACGCTCTGGGCACCGGCAAGGCCGACTATGTGGTCGGTGACGTATCTTCCAAGGCCGGATGTCTAGCTCTTTGTGCCGAGATCAAAAAGAAGGTCAACAAGATACACGTCCTGGTCAATAACTCCGGGGTCTCTTGGGGTGCCCCATACGATAACGTTCCTGAGAAAGGTGTGTTCAAGTTTTCATACATCTTGTTTGTACCACACACACGTACTGATTTCTTACTTTACTACCAATTTGCAGAGGGATGGGACAAAGTTCTCAGTTGAGTCCGGGCTGCTTGCTTCTTCAATCGTCCTGCCGATCGTCTGGATTAATCTATCTATTTAACCACCCCAAAAACAACACGCCATTGGCTTCAACTTGAAAAGGCATGAATGTGAAATCGGTATTCTACATGACATCAGAGCTCACCTCTTTACTTGCGAAAGATGCAACGAATCTGGGTAGGTTGCGATTCTTGATTTTCCCTTGACTTGACTTGCATCCCCACAAATCCAACCAAGTGTCGAGCATTGACGATAGAAATCGATTCCATTTATCACCAAAGATCCCGGCAGAGTGATCGTCGTCTCGTCCGTTGCTGGACTTACCAGCAAAGCCGAATCGAGCGGTCTTGGAGCGGAAGGACATGGACTTTGGTCATGTAGGAATCCACTCAACTTTCTCAACTCGGATTACCTCGTTACAAAAGCTTGGCTCATGAATAACAAAAACCCACTCAGATAATGCAAGTAAAGCAGCCGCAATCTCCTTGTCCAACAACCTCGCCGTCACACTTGCCCCTAAGTTTATCACCGTCAATGCGATCTGCCCCGTATGTGCTTCTTGTTCGGAGTTGCACATCTTACCCATTTCGACTAGATTACTCACATTCACAAAAAAAAACATTTGTCAATAAGGGAGTATATCCGTCTCGAATGACCGCATACGGTTTGAAGAAGCAATCGGACTTGCTCAATAGCCAACACCCAATGGGTCGAATCGGAACCCCCGAGGTAAGCCCAATTCCCTACCTTGGATGGTGCAGTCATCCGGAGGATGCTCACAAATCTGACTGATTCCCCATGTAGGATATGGCCGGAGTCTTTCTTTTCTTGACCACTCGAGCGGGAGCTCACATAACTGCCAACGTCAGTATATAATCGGCGGAAGAATCACTCAGCCAATCATCTTTGTATTCTTTGCTGATCGCGATAACTGCCCCCATGATCATTGTGACACAGTACATTCTCACCGACGGAGGCTCTTTGGCCTCGACTTCGGGATATACAAAACTATAAGGAAGCAGCCCAAGCTGAAATTCGTTGTACGTGATCTTTGTGGACTCGAATCAGTTTGATTCAATCATGGCTCAATTTGTTTGGAATTTCTTGCTTTGAAAGAAAGAAAAAGCTAGGTATATGGACACGCTTTCTATGATCCCGTTCGATCATTGTAACATATATATATATAGCGTTTCTTCGCAATTGTATTTTTCTCATCCATGCAAGGTTTGATGACATAGAATCCAATTCAACACATTTTGAATGGATACAAATTATGATCGTGTATTCATTGGCTTGATACAATGTAGCAAAGGTCAAATCGATCTCTCTTGTTAATCAAAAGAATGAGATCCCCGGGCAGCTACCAAGAGGACCACCGGGATGTCGAGCCTGATGTGTATTTGAGCGGAGTCGGCGGCACGCCCGTGGCCACTGACGTGGGACCGAGCACAGATATTATGATGCTGGTGGTGAGAGAAGTGAAGGTTTGGTGTTGCTGATTGATCGACCAGCAGGAGGCAGGCCTGCTCCGGGATAATTGGATGTGGCAAGATTCATCATTGTCACATCCAGTGAACTCATTCGACACCCTGACCCATCTGACTATCATCGCCTTATTGACATATATTCATTCCTGGCTAGAGATCATCAGAAGCGGAAATTACTGGAGGCCACTATGCTTGGATCTTCAAAGATCCAGTTGTGCCTCATTGCTAGGGTCGCCGCCCAGCTCACGAAAGATGATCCCAACGGATTTTCTATGTACACCCATTCGATCATCGGAGTCATCCGACTCAGTTTGACAGCTCATGAGTCTCGGATTGTACTCCCGACGCTCGTCACCTTCACTAACAAAATCCTATCGAGTCGAAAGAGGAATACCACTACCAAGTCCAACAATTCGATCTCTTTTAAGCCCAGCTGTTTGTTTTGGAATCGGATTGAATTTGAGCTCGTCCACGTCTCCTAAATATGTAGAGGGTGATGCCACCACCCTAATGAGTTGACTGCAGGACTGAGAGCTATGTTCTTCTCCTCTGCTCATGAGTTTGTCGGTGGACTGTCTTAATGGCAGCTAGCAAATAAAATTATAAATTAAGGTAGCTGGTTGTCAAGCTTTCCTCTGAATGACTGTTGGCTGGACAATTTTTATTATTTTATTTTAGACTCTGCTGGCATTGCTCCCATGTGGCATGGAAGGGCATGGAGCCATGGAGCCTGGAAGTGGAGCCGAGGGGTGCTATGTATGGGTTTATGTCACTGGGCTGGCCTCTCTGTAAGCCCATAGTCGGTTTAGCTGTGCAAGCCAGAGAGAAGAGAGCTTCCAACACTTCACCCACTCCAGAATCCCAGATCACCACCACCATCACCATCATCATCATCATCAAGCTGTCGAGCTTCAATCCAGGCCATCCATCAACCAACTAACCAACCCTCTTCGCAGTATCATCAACAATGCCCGTCCGGCATCTCGACGCTTATCTCTACGAGCGTGGACTGGTTCATGTGAGCTTCGATTTAGTAGGATATCTACAACAAGCGATATACTGACAACTGATTATTTCATCATAATTGATCGATCCCAGACTGCCCCGATCACTGCACTAAAGGATACCCGTCTTGGGATTGATGCCCAACAATGGTTCAAGAACTTGCTGTCCCATCCAGCTTACAAGGAACCCTTCGTATCCGTCACCGGTGGCGCACCACTTAATATCTATCAGCACATGGAGAGGGAGCTACGATTACTCGAACAACATCGTATCAAGCCCGTCTTCGTCTTCCAAGGTCTCCCACCCACCAGAAGAGATCGCCCGTTCTTCTTCCTACCCAATGCCACCGACCTACAGGAGAACCCGATCCTCAAGCTAAGGACCCGTGATAAGGGCTGGGAGAAGTACGTCTCAGGTGACCTCGAAGGCGCAAAGGCCCTATTCGATCAAAGCTCAAGCGTCCAACCAAACGACGTCTTCAACCAAATCCATCGACTCTTCAGGACCCGTCAGGTCGAATATCTAGTTGCACCCTATCTCAACTGGGCCCAACTAGTCTACCTGGAACGTCATCCAAGGAAATCCTACATTCACTCTACCTATGGCTCAACCGAACTCTTCCTATTCGATGGTGTCGATAAGGTCATCCTCTCTGTCGATTTCGATAAGGGGAATATCAAGTTTGCCTCCAAGAAGGAGATCCTCATCGAAACCGGGCTCAGTCCCGAACAATTCCTCGACGTCGGCATCCTATCCGGATTCGACCTATCCCCGATCTTCCCACCTTTCATCGAGCGTCAGGATCATTCCTTCAAGCATGCCATCGAGCTCGTCAGACGATACCAGACCGGACTAGCTGCCGTGATGGCCTATGGAGAACATCCGATGGTCGTCAAGACCGGCTACTTCGACCAGTTCTGTCGATCCAAGTGCATGATCAAGTTCTCATTGGTCACCGTTGCCGAGGAAGGGAAAGTTCTACCCCTACCGATCGCCTCTCCCACCTCCTCAAACCCGCCCTCGATCAGCGATGTTCCCGCCGATCTTCACGAGGTCTTCTCCTACAAGCTTCCAGATGAGGTCTACTTCCAACTCTGTCGAGCAATGGTCAGCCCTACCCTCCTCAACGTCCTCCTCACAGGCCTATGGGTCGAACAGCCTCCGCTCTGTGGCGGCGAAACCGAAGATTACTGTTCATTCGTCAAGGAGTGCTTGACCGAGAACCCTTCAGGTCCGAGATGTGTCGCCCTGGCCCTTGTACTTTCGCCATTGCATCCCTTCTGGCAGAAAAAACCAGTGGTAAGTCTATTCCCACTTGATTCAATCTGCTCAATCTATAACCAGTTTTCTTATTTGTTTCTTTTGCCTCACCACCCTCTCCAACACTCTATCTAGTCTGCCATTTATTACTTCGATCCTCATAATAATTACACGATTCCTCATACCTCAAATGTCACGATGAACTTGATCGAAAAAATCTCAAATTGGAATGTGCCTGCAGGAGTAGTTGAAGAGGAGCTAAAACGGCAAAATGTTGAGTGATATTTTTTCCGAAAGAAAAATAGCCCAAGTAGTACTAGAATGGAGACTGATGGAGGGGGATTGATACTTCTTTTGGCACATCAAGTCATCGACAATCGATATCTCACTCTGTCTAGGCGCAACATCCCAATCACAGCTAGCCGGACGAACTCGGACGCCCCGGTCGACACTAGCGACGAACCACAAGCCATTGGAGAAGAAGGACGAAGTAGTGGCGAACACGATCTGGCGCTTCCTCGAGCTACGCGGCTATCTGCACCCGAACCACCAGCACACGATCCAGGGCAAGGCGCTCTACATGGCCCTCAAGGAGGCTAAGGTCAACGACAAACTCCAGGAGTCTTTGCTCCTCGTGATCGAGATGTTGAGGATGGGCTGTCTCCACTCCAATTGGTTCGGCGGCAGAACTTGGACCGGGACCGCTCATCTTGGGACTGAAGATGATAAACGAAACATGCTGTTGGTCATGAGAGTCTTGTCAATCCTCCCTCTAACGTTCAAGGTCAGTGGACTCTCTTTTTCAAATTGAATCACGAAAGAATATTTTCTACAATGTCCGATAATTTATTGAGTTTCAGAAGAAAGAAAAAAAGTGAGGATGTGAACTGAAGTGATTGTTTTTTTTTTTTTTTGAAATGACTAGTCGATGGCATGGCAAGGCCCATTATCGCGAGACCTATTAACGTTCAACTCATTTGTGAGATCGCTGAGCAAGTCGATGCGACTATTGGTAGAATCGATTGTGTTATCGATGGTCCTGCGGAACGACACGCGACGGTCACGGGAGGACGGGATGGAGGTGAGTCTGTCGCTGCCGTTCCAGGTCGAGCCCAACACGGGGATGGGGATCCTCTTCAAGGGATATGCCGATGCGATCGTCTGCACTAAGACGGAGATCGAGAACGAGGAGAACGCCGAGGAACTCCTCTTGGAACTTAAAAATGATATCATCGCTGGCGCGCAGGACGGCTTCCCGATGGTCAGGGACGTCAGGGCTGAGCTCAATAGAGGGTTCAGGTTTTGGGACGCCGTAGGTCCTCCTCTCTCTCCTGTCTCTCTTGCATTAAAAACACTTCTTTTGTTGTTGGTCTAATGTTCCTTTGATCTCGGTCCTTCTTCATAGGTCATGAAAATCGTCCGAACACTCAAAGAAGAAAAAGTGATCAACTCTAATCTATCTGATGGATTCGAAAAAGCTAATGATTGGTTAAAACCTTTACGATTATAATCTTCTCTTTCTACCTTTTTTTTGTCCTTCAAAACCAAAAAATATCCTTCTTGTTGTAGTATACTTTTTTTTACAACCATTTCTTTTTTTTTTTTTTTTTTTGAGATGTTTTTAATGTTGGTTTTTTGTTTGGTCTTTCATCTTTCATCTTCTTTCTCTATTACATGCTTGACCTTTTTTGTTAACTTTTATGTGCATACTTTCATTTTTTTTTTTTTTCACATGTTTTTCTTTCAAAAAAAACAAACAAACAAACCACTGTTTTTTCAAAAAAAAAAAAGTAATCAAAGTATACAAAAAAATAATAAAAACTCTAACAAAAAAGTAACCATGAAAATATGTAGTGGAATAATAGAGTGATTGGGGGCAAGTGGAGAAGCAAGGAGACACAGATAGAAGAGGACAGTACCTTCATTCAATTTCTGGGTGAGGAACTTGCAAGGGTGAAACACTGCACTATGCACTTATCTTTCTGTATCTCCCAAAATGAAAACCAAGATGTAATGAATATTTTGATATCTTCTGATAGGGCCTGAATAAAAAAAGGGTCTTAGTTAAACAACTCCCAAATGTTGGAGTTCTGACTCCCAAATATTTGGGATGTCCAGAGGACCAGCTGCAGACCGTCCTCCTAAAGTGAACCCTCCCAACCTATCTGCTGGAGCCTTGCGCTTGGGCGGTTTTGTAGTGTTGGACATACATGGGAGGTGGGATTGGTGAAGAGAGCAAAGAATCCATTGTTGGGAGGTATTTGAGATAAATATACCCAACAGAACTCACATGAATATGACACCTGACCGGATTTGTCTTCCAGTTTGATCATGTTCATAGCCTTGTCAATTGCTCGTATTATCTTGAGACACTTATCTCCCATTCCCTCCAATTTGAAAACCCTTTCACCAACAGTGGGACGCTATGCTATGCTATGCTACAGGACCTTTTAGCGGCAGTAGGAGCATCTATCTTTTGTGTAGTGTTAGCACCCGCTCCCACCCACTACGCTATGCTAATGTGTAGTTGTGCTATCAACACACCTTTTTGGATAGGGGTTTTTTTAGCACACCGCTACTGCCACTACACTGACTGCCACTACATTTGGATAGGGGTTTTTTTAGCACACCGCTACTGCCACTACACTGTGTTATGATACACTACAGTGTTTCTAGCAGTGTGGTATTCCCATACCTGTCCATGTAAGGTCATTTTTTCCCATCATCATCCCATATATCTTCCCAGTATTATTCCATGCTCCTCTTGTTGAGATCTGAGCTCAATCCCTCTAGAACTCTAGCGGCATATTTCTAAAGATTGTGATTACTTAATCACCAGTTGCTTTGGCAATGACATCATCACAAATGTCTAACTTAAAGTTGAATGGACCTCTCTTTGTCACTCACTCGCTCTTTCCTTCCCATGAATTCATAAACTTTCTTCCTCAAATCATCACTTCTTCTGAGGTTCTAAATCATTATCCTTCTTCTTAAAAGAACTTCGGATTCATTGCTCAAATGTTGAGATATCAGTGACATCTCATGTTGTATGCTTCTTTCTGATTTCATTTCTCTCATGCCACTTTCTGTGACATTCACGTGTTTTTCTTTTGGTTCTTATACTGGATTCAGTTGTGTTTGGGAGGCTTTCTTTTCCTCATCCTTTCCAACACTTCTGTCTCCAGGTATGTTCTTTTCTTTCTTCTCTTTTTCTCTTTCTTTCTTGATGTTGAAATGAATCAAGATCCTTTCCAACACTTCTGTCTCCAGTCACCTGAGTTCATCTCAACATAGAACTTGTCTCGCTACATCATCTGTATCCAGTAGTGAAACAACTCACACATATCTTCATCGTCCATTGCAAACTTGTGCGCTCTCCTCTTCATTCAATCTTCAATCAACAGTAGCGCCTCACCCAAAGGACTTGTGTGCTTTCCCTTCTACTCGACCCTCCGCCGACCTTTGCACTTCCATTACAGCGATGGGCAGATACGTTACCCAAATGGATAACGTTGACTGTAACGTAACCTTTACAGTTACGTTAACCACAAGTTACAGATATCTTTATTTCAGTTACGATATCTACTGGAGCAAAAGGCCCCTTTTTTTTCTAGTTACGTTCCCAGAAATTCTGAACAAAACAGGGTTACGTTACAGAATTTCCAAGATTTGGATAACTTAAGGGTAACTTTGCTGGAGATACACTGATTCTTGATGTTTTTGTTCATTAGGAGCGAGGTAATTCGCACAATATGATCATAAACCAATCAGTGATTATCATTTCACCAGCAAGCCAGGTCAAAAGATGTCTGGTGTGAGGATTGAACCCACAACCTCCACATTTTCAATGCACATGTGAGGCACTCTTTGACCATTAAGCTATATGAAATATGATTTTGCCCTTCAAACTCTCATCACACCCTCCACCCAAGTAAGTTACGTTACCCCAAAAAAATATATGGAAAAAATAAAATTGGTTACATTACTTTACTTTACAACCAAATTTAGTTACTTTACAAAAACAACAGATTTGGATAACTAAAAAAAAGTTATGTTCTCCAAATCCCCTGCTGTAACATACCGTAACGTATCTGCCCACCGCTGCTTCCAAGTACCTGCTTGTTGTCATAGGTCTTCGACTCAACCCTTTCCTTCATTGACTTGACTGAATCTCAACTGACATCTTCTATCATTCAGTTACTTTCCTCTTTCTTTTTGTTCTTCTTTGTTGTTGCGTCCTCTTTATTGTTGCTCCTGCCTTTAGGTACTTTTCTCATTTCATTTTGTTATCATTGTTGTATTTCATCGCTATCATAGCTAATCTGAAATCCAAACTTTAGGTTGACGTTTAACACCTCTTCCAGTGACTATTTTCTCTCTAATCACCTTCTTACAGTATATTTGGTACTCTCAGGTTCTCCTCAGACATTATTCCATCAATAATTTTCATAATTATTCCTTATTACATCTATATTACATATCATGTAGTTAAAATGTTTAGGTAGTAGCACTCCTTTCTGCTACATTTCATATGTCACATATCCTTTCTTATGTAGAATCATTCTTGTCACCTACATTTTATATTTTGCATAGTACTACAGATTTTCTTTGAACCTAGAACATCATTTTCTCACCATTGCAGTGCTCATACTTGTTTGTCACATTGTCATCATTCATTTCCAATTTTCCTTCTTTTCACAGAATTACCCTTCTACATCTGTCAAACCCTGTTCATCATCATTTTAGTGTTGTTGTCAGACAGTCTACTCATCCCCTGTACTGTTTCTATAGCCCCTACATGTTGCACATATAAATAGTGCTCCTTTTCCAAGTTGTACATGGGTATGCTATTTCATGCTATTTTCATGCTTTTCCATGATACCCTTCATGCACTTTACTCGTCACACACACAGTAAATAAGCATCACTTACCAGCACTACCTTTGCCAGTATTATGAACCTTGCCAGTATTATTGCCAGCTATTATTGCCAGCATCATCTTTGCCAGTATTATCCTTATCAGAATTATCTTACCAGCAATGCCCTTACCAGCATTATCATCAGCCATCCTTTTTCCACAAAACCTCAGTACTTCTATTCCCCCTTCAGTAGTAGTAACCTGCACACACAGCTCATCAGTAATAGTCAACGAAGATTCAAGTAGAAATTAGCCACACCCATATTTCTTCTTTTCTTGGTGTTACACTCTTCCCATAGCATTAGATAGGAGGGCAGCCTCACAGCACCCTTGGTTTTAACTTGAATTAGTACTAGTGTGGTTATCCATATCCCCTCCAAGCTCTATCTCTTTGGCTGAGAAGTTCCACAGCAGCAAAAAAGGCCAAAAAATCACTAAAAACTGCTGTAGCACAGCATAGTGGGTACTGTGCCCCATGCGTGTAGTGTTAGCACAGATGTGTGGAGTCACGCTAATGCTATATCAGAATCCAACAAGCTTTGGTGCCCGGTGCACATAGTGTTAGTGCAGATTTTCAGAATTGCACTGACACTACACTAAATGTTAGCTTATTTTAGTTACACTATGCTACACTACCACTAAAATTAGTGTAGCTGGCCCACCGTTGCTTTCACAGCCCACTTCAGAGTTTTGAATAGTGTCTTGTTACCTTGCTTCTCCAAAATTTCCATTTTTGCCTTGACCTGGGAAGAAAATTCTCCGTTTTTGTTTTTTCCATCTGTTGATAAACTGTGATTATACCAGGCAGTCACTTGACTTGCCTTGTCCAGGTTGGTGAACTCTTCAATCAAATGAAAATAAACTACCACCTGAAGAATGGCACCCAAAGGATTTGAGTAATGTATCTGCAGGCCATGGGGATAGGATTTAGGGGGCACAAAGTGGGCAAGTTTTGATTGGGATGGGAGGCCGGTGGAGGTATTGGGTCAAATACAGATATATACAACTGGTACTGTTTTTGCTAACTCCATGATAAGGTACTTCTTTCCACTTATCATAGGACCAATGATGACCGTAGAAGGGACCTTGTATGCAGCTGGGGACCATTGGGATGCATAGACTTGGAGGATTTTTAGAATCAGATCTAAAATTTGACCTGAGTGTATGTACTCTGATTGAAAACCTTGCTGGGCAAGCTCAGGAGACCATTCATATTCAAAGGGTTGCGTCTCAGAAAGATTGTTAGATTGGAAGGCCGCTGGAATGAGCTTCCAAATTTCATCACACATTTGATCAATCAAGGGGTTAGAAAGCTCTCTGAGTGGGAACTGGAAACAGTAAGCAAGTCAAATCAGTTGTTCTAGCATACTTGGTTTTTTTTTTCAACAAATGATGTGGATTGGAAATTCCCAGAGACTACCAAAGACCATGAAATTTTAAAGGCTTGCATAATTCAGTGATTAGACCTTGCAAAAGCTTGCCCAGCTCCTGGTTAAATTTTTGGATTTCTCCCATTTGGGTTTCATGGAATGCAAAACACCATCTAATGAGGGATGTTTAACCAAGAAACAGATAAACAAATACACATACATTCATGAAATTTGACAAATATTGAGAAAACCCTATCTGAAATGTCTAGCTCAAGATGTGCATTCAATTCTTGAAACCAGGTACATTCTTTGCTAGTGCGTTCACAGGTGTTAGACATAGTCAGAGTTGTTGAACTTGATGAGCTGGGTGTTCTATGACCATTGGAATTCATGTGAGAATCCTGGCAGACAAAAATTAGATGTCAAAATCTTCTGAGCAAAGATACCAAGGGACATATGACTCACCTCCAATGTTTTGTTATGAGATGCTGGAGGCTGAGCTGGAACCTGGGAGAACCTGGGATGC